TAGTACTTACTGCCATCAAAAGTTTCTAGTATTTTTATCAAAACAACGACTGAGTACTGAGAGCTGCAAAGGTCAACAACAACTACTATTGTTATACGCAGCGGTTATGGAAAAATTGGGTGTAAGTAGAGTGAAGGCTCGATATGATCAACTAATTGGTGCAAAAGCAGTTGATAAAATGGAGTTTCCATTACATTTGTTGATATATAATCGGCCTGAAATCAAAGATCACAAATTTTGAATTAGAATATTCTGTTACAGAGCTGTAACAGATGTTTGTTTACGGTCGAAATGTTTAGTTGCGCTTGAAACAGGGAATGCGCGGGAATAGCAATCAATTTTTCGTCGAAATTGTTGTTGACCAATGGTGCATATCTTTTTGCTTTTCGTTTCGCAAATTTTCTTTAATTGGCGTTGCTGTCATGACGAAATTGTTTGGTACTCACTTTCCTGGAAGTTAACTTTGATATACAGTTTTACTTTACTATCTGATGAGGGCGTTCTAAGAAATGACGACTGAAACACAGGCATAATTTATTATATATAGTGGAAGTATTTTTTTTTTTTTGTTTAAATTTAATTTGCCTTGTAGTTGTTTTTTCCCAATTCTGAATGCTTTCTTCGTCAAAAAGAAAAAAAAAAAGTTAGTCTCGTTCTGAAATTGTGCACATCTGCGTTCACTGGTGCATACTCGACACTCAGATGATACCGACTTTTTGGATTTTTTTAACGTGCAATTTTTGACAGTGTGGGTTTCACGTGTTACACTTATGTAATCTTTTAGCTTGTCTTCTATTTTTTTTTTTTTTTTGCTTTTGCCTTTTTTTTTCTCTAGTCTCTTCCTCGAAAACTTTGATTGTATTTAATTAGTTTCGTCACATGACCTTTCAAATGAATTGTGCGAACTGCACCGAGAATTTGTTATTGGCAGCCGTTGAAATCCAGCAGTGAAGCTTAGATATCACCAGTGAGTCTGAAAAAAACTGGGGATAGAAAATCTTGTAAGCCAACTCGGTAGTCGGCTGCACTAAATGTACAGGGACTAGAAATTCATTTGACAGCTTTTTAATGTTGGAAAAAAATTTAAGTGTTGCATTTGTGATGAAAGTTTTATCCAGTTCAGCAGCTTTTACAAGACGGTGAAATAGCCTCTAAAATTGTTAGTCACAAATGTGTTATGAACCGGTGTTGAATTTTCAATTTGGCTGTGACTGTGCTTTGCAAAGCTCTTTGTTGAATTTTTTTGGAGCAGTCACTTGATAATAATGAGCTTCTTCGCACCATACGTTCAGTGTCCGTTGTTCACATGGAAAAGGATAGTCGTTTGAAACTTGCGGGAGAAAGGGCCGTTTGACGTCACTGCAGAATATTCTAGAGAATTTAAGATTAAAACCATACTCAGTAGCACATTTCGTTAATTTTATTCCCTTTTTCGCCGTTATTTGGGTTTTTAACAGATCTCATTGAAAAAAGGGTTGCGTTTAATGGAACGAGGTTCTTTAGAATGTGGTAATCAAAAGTAGCCGTTCACATATAAATGAAAAAAAGTTTTAACAACCGGTTCTACAGCAAGTTTTCAAAGATTGATGAGAAGGGTTCAGGACAGCAGAATTTTAGGAACGTCTAAAAATTAAGGGACACAGATAGGTAGGCAATGCAGAAACGTGGTTAACCACCGTTTAAGGATACTTGCGTAACGGTGCTGCAAAGCACACTGAAGTCCAACGTTGTTTTTAAAAGTTAGTTTAGTCTAAATTTTTATTTGGGTGTCACAGTGTCAGTGTCATATAGCTGGTATTTTTACCATGTCGTCTTGCCCATTATTTACCGCTGAGGAGGGTTTGCTCAGTGTTTTCGTTTTACTTGAATCACCTTATTTTTATGAAATAGTAATTTCAAAATTAGACTCCTTACTGTAGAATGAATTAAAGGAAAAGAGGTGATCACTGAGTCGTTAATAAAAGAGAACAAGAAAAAAGCAAACGGCTGTTTGGACTAAGTGACTGTTGCTGTCGTTTCTTAGATCGATCGTCGTGTTGCTTGAAATTTTTTTGCTTTAGCCGGCATAATTTATTGTGTTTATTTCCATTGGTTTCATTTTTTTTTTTTACTTTTAATTTTTTCGTTTTGTTTTTGTTTTTGATTTGCATAGCATAGCGTGTTAGAAGGGGAGAGGGGAAGGGGAGAGAGAGAAGCAGTTACTGAAGAGAAACTAAAGTTTAACGCCCTTGTTCTAGAAATTGTTATGGATTGTATGTCAGATATTCACAGCTTTTTCTCTCTCTAATGAAAGCTGCTTTTTTTTAGCGTCAGCTTTTGCCAGTACAGTTGAATTATCTAAACTCGTAACTTGCGGAGCGGTTTCGTGTAGCTCCGATGTGTTTTTATGAGATCAATACGTTGTTATTATTATTATTTATATTGCATATCTGCTTTTCCACGTGTTTAAATACACGAATATTCGATTATTTTTCAGTATTGCCGAGGACGATCGGATTATCTGAAAAGTTGCTCGTAGTAGTTACATTTTAATTAATTTCAGGCGATGCTTTGTTTTTTTTTCCATGTAAACGTATATCTTGAGCATTATTTTTCTTGTACTGAAACAGCATTGCACACTATACGTGATAACAAAAAAAATATTTTAATACAACTTGATTAATTAATTTAGTATGCTTCAGCTGATACCGATCTGGTTTTCTTTGCAACATTTTGAAAACCCTTTTTGTTCTGAAAAATTGATTAGATTTTTTTGACTTTTCCACTCTAATTTAGTTAGGAAAGAAGCCTGAGATAGAAGTTAGGTTAATCAGCTCTTGCTTTTTCTTTTTTATTAGTGTGCAAAGTTCTTGACTATATCAACGGATAAATGGTTTAGGAAGTATGTTTGAGTCGCCATTAATTGTTTTTTTCAAGTTATACTTTCCAATTCCTTCCAACTTTCTTCAATTTATACTTTTTTAATAGTTTTGTAGAGAATATTTTTTGTTTTTGGTACTAATTTTTCCATATTGAATTTCAAATGAAACTGGTTCAAACTGCTTGCGATAACTTCTTATTTGTCAAAAATTTGTTACGTTCTTGTGGACTGATACGCCACTGGGGAAACGTATTTGTTGTTCTTTTCTAATGTTGAAGTTAATAGGTTTGACTTATGGAATCTAAAGTGTACGGTTCTTAGAGAAAAAGTTTATTTCACCACCCTCTAAAGCGCTGCCTAAGTGTATCAACGGTTTTGCAGTTTTAAAGCTTTATTAATTTATTTGATACGGGTTGTTGCTCCTCAGTTGTCTTGCTGGAATGCACAAGTTTTCATCTGCAAAATTTCTTCACGTATTAAGACAGAGCGTCTAAAGTGCGATTTTCTAACTTTTTTGGTGTTTGGTTTTAATTTATTGTCATTAAGGCCATGATTTTAGTAATATGTTTTTTGGGCGTGATTCATTTGTTTCTTTACCTTTCTTGAGGCATGGGTTGTGATTTTAACCCAATGGATAGCAAAAATTTTTCAGGTTTTGGTTCATATCCTACATTTATTAACTTTCCCTTTTCGCAACTTTTGCTATTTTTTGTTGGTGATATTAAGGGTTTGAATTAGATTAATGATCCTTTTTGATGCTTAGAGTGTTAGAGTATTAAAACAACTAGTTTTTATTGCTAGAACCTGGTTGCCTTTTCAGTTTCTAGAAACACTTTTGTGCGATAAATTGGGCAATACTATTATCTTTAAGGACAATGCTCAGAGCGGTTTTATTTTGAATAGAATATTTCAATCAATTACGAAGACCGTAATAGGATCTTTGCCTAAGTTTTTTTTCAAAGTATTTAGTATTCACACAGGACTTGTTAACTTGTTTCTTGAATAGTGAAAACTTTTTTTTGCCAGTGATGACGTTTTTTTCAAGTTTTACTATATTTTAATAGTTCATTAGTGCCGTTGCAGCAAATCGTCTTTTAACTGGAATACGGAAGGCAGCTATGTCGGAGGACCAAGAAAATCTCTTAGGTTCAGCTCCTCCGTTTTTGCGGGCTAGTAGTGTTCCAGCACATCGCCGTCCGATAACCGTTTCAAATAAAAATTCCGGTTAGTTTTTTTTCAAATGTTCTCAAATAATTTTGCATTGTTGCTCACAGTTTGGATAGTTAGATGTAATGAAGTCTTTTTTTGCTTAAAGCTTTTAAGAAATTTTTTAATTTTGGGAACTTGGGTTTGAGGAGCTAAAAGATTTGGATCAATTTTTTGTCACCGCTTCTACGTTCTGGGGTCACTTTGAACCTTGTTCACCTTCTAAATGTCTGTAGTTTTCCGTTTTGTTCCGCCTGAAAACTGTTTTTCTCTTCAATCTGTTGAGCGCTACTTTTTTTTTGCTATGCAACGAGTATTGCTATACTGCTGCGTATTAAATTATTGTCAGTTCGGCTTCATAGTAAGGATGATAGTGTCATATGTTAACTCTTACTGATTTTGTTCACCGTTTTTTCTCTTGAAGTTGTTTACTCATGCTATACATAGCCAAGCATCATTTGTTCTTTGTTGGATCGTTTTCAAGTAGATGTAAGCTAGTTTTTGTAAGAGAGAATAATAGCTGTAATAGGACTTTAAAGCTATCGGCCTCGCAAATGCATTTTTGATCCTTATTTAAGTGGCAAACATTTACAAGGTTTTTTTTCCGGGTTTGTTTCTTAATTTCTATTGGGAAGTAGTATTTCGCTTCATTTTTAAATGGTGACATTTTTTAGGTACAGCGGGGTCAGTGAACGATGAGACTTTTCAGAAGGCCTTCTTGGAAGTGCCGAAGTGTAATGTGAGCGTCGTTATTGGCTGAAGATTTGCTTAGTACTTATTCTTTCGTTTTCTTTTCTTTTGAATATTATGGGAGTTCGTTGTTTTAGGTATTTTCCGCGAAAGAGTTAAAAGAGAAGTTAGACGGTGCCTGCAACACTTTACAGAATGCCAATTTAGATTGGGATAAGAGAGTGAATGCAGTATGTTGTTTATTAGTGCAGCTTTAATTTTCTGTTCGGAGATTAAGTTTTCTTCAATTTCTAAATTATAGTTGAAGCTATTGCGGGGTTTATTGATTGGCGGCGGTTTAGACTTCACAGATTTCACAGCAGAGCTAAGAGATATGGAAGGCGCTTTCTTGACATCGATAAAAGATTTAAGGTCCCAAGTTTGTCGTGAAGGATGCGTTACCTTAGCGTACGTTTCTCTTGACAGTAATCATGTCTTTTACTTTGAAATGTAGACAGTTTAGGCTTTCAAAATAATTTGGACTGTTTTGCTACTTAAGTGCTTGAGTGATACTCTGTTTGCTCAGTGCCTTCTTGTTAAACGTATTTTTTTAGAGAGATTGCTATTTTTGTGACGTTTGGTTAATTGTTTGTGAAAAACCCACATTTTTTGTATGGTATGTTTCGTATTATAGATGTTATAAAACGTCATTTCAGTTTTTATTGCGAAAGGTTAGAGATGAAAATGGCGGTAATAATTGAAGCTTTGATGCCTACACTTATTAATCTTCTTCAGAATAGTGCAAAGGTAAATGGGTTAATTGTTTAAATTACTCAGCTTTGTCTTATCAAAACCGTCGTTGGTGAGTTCTTTATTGGCATTTTTTTGGTTTCAGGTAATGGCCACTAGTGCACAGGTGGCTTTACAATATGTTGTCAAACATGTCCGTAGTCCTAAGTTATTGCCTCATTTGAAAACAGCTATGGCTTCAAAATCAAAAGATATTAGAAGGTTTTGATTTTCTTGCAAAAGTAGCTTGCTCATTTGCTGCTTTACTTTTCCTTGTGTCTTTTGCATTAAAAGTTTATTATCTGCTTTTTCAACGTTAAGGAACGCTGCTGCTCTTATTTTAATGGCACTAACTCTCTGGGACAGTCGCATAATAGAAAAAAATATGCCAGTTTTTATGGATTGTGTTAAGGTTAAGTTTGGTTCTTGTCTTTTACGTCTTTCATATTTTCTTATTTCTAACTTTTTATGTTTTTTGTTTTGATTTGAATTTCACTGAAGTAGGCAGGTTCTGATCGTTGTAGGCAAAGTGTACAGTTGGCCTCACGTGAGCGTGTACATTATTTATTTTAACTAGTAATCTATTGACCGGAGACAATTTCCGAGGCTAAAATGTTAGTTGAAGAAGTAACACAAATTCAACATTTATAATATGAAGTCATTAGCTTTTTTGGTTGTGTTCTTTGCAGAGACAGCATAGGAGAATTTATCTTGGTGAATAGGTCTGATTTCGTTGGTCCGGGAAAATTGGCTATGGTTGAGAAACAAAATTAGAGGAATAGTCTTACATTAGGTTGTGTTGCTGAAAAAGAAAGATGAGTAAATTTGATGTTGCTGTAGTTACTGACCAATAAATTAGTAATAAATGAGTATTTTTGTATGTCAATAGTCTATCGGGAAAATGATTTTTTAAGCTCTTCTGCGTCATAAATTAGACATATAGTCTTACTCAGATAGAAACCATGTGGCCTAGTAACTGTTCAGCCTTCTTAGTGGTTCTGTTGTTACTACAGTTCCTTTAGGGA